TTTTTTCTCCACCCCCCCCCCCCCCCCCCAAAAAAAATTATCTTCTCCCTCCTGCCAAAATCTCACCTCCCCTAGTTCTTAAAAAGATTTCAGCTTCATTAAGAAAAATCTCTTGGGCTAGGTGACTCATCCCCATCCTTTCATAATGGAGGTTTTGAAAGCTTGAGGCAATGGAGGAAGAATGGGAGGAGAATGGTTTAATTCCCTCAACGTTTCAGATTCTTCTTCTCTCTTTTTTTTCTTTTTTTTTTTTTTGGCCTACAAGGATATTTTGGTAATTATCCACACATAGGGGTATTTTGGTCATGTTTGTACAACTTCAAATTAAACACACTTAATTTTATAGTCTCCATCCAAAATCACTTGATAAAATACCCATAATCATTCTCCACCATAATATTATTTTTCACTAAAATATGAAAATCCCCCTTGAATTTTTCGGGGTATTACAGATACATTTGGAATGTCAATGCCACATCACAGGTGCAGCAGCATCTGTTCTGTGCACACAAGAATACCACTTTTTTCTCTGTTTCACTTGAGCTAAATAAAAATGTTGTATATTGTTGTGGATGGAACAAGGAATTATGTTTACTGGGTTTGTTAAGGTCAAGGTGTGTTTTTGTTTCAGAAAGGCTCTTTTTTTTTTTTTTTTGCTCTCTTGTTGTGTTGTTGATTATTGGCCATGTTGGTTGTAGTAATTCATTTTGGACTAGTTAAATTGCATTATCTTTGGCAGGTATTCCTACTCTCCTTCCCCGAAACGATACAGTAGGTCCCTTTCGAGGTTAAGGTCAAGGTCAAGGTTGTGCTTTTAACCAAGCTGCTTCTCATTTGGCCCTATTTATTGAATCTTTTTTACTATAATCCTAATTTAATTTCAGTTCTCCCTCTCTCTCCCACAGACATTTCGACTCAGCTTTGTTTCTCATCTGTCCTTTCCTTTCCTTCACTCTATTTATTCTTCTCTTCTCTTCTCTTCTCCTTTGATCCCATTTGTTACATTTCAATTGCAACTGCATGTAGTTCTCTCTCAAGCTTACATATTTGCTAATGGTATCTTTGAAAGAAAATGACATGCATTTGACCCAAACTCTGCCTTTTCTTTTTCTTTCTATTTTCTTCATAAATTGAAATTTAAGAGTGTTTCTTAATGGGCTTTTGAGCCCCATTGCAACTTACAACCAAAATGCCATGGACTCACATTTTAATTTGTGTTAGAAAATCTTTTGTAATATGGAGTAATGGGCCAACTACTTTTAGACCCACAACGATGTTTTGCAAGCCAGCCATACACCATATTTACTTAAAATATGCCATGTCTTAAGATCGAGAAGAATTGCCACGATAATATTTGAGTGTAGGGCTTACTGTCCATGGTTAATTACTCCAGGGGAGGGTTGTATCATAGCTTAAGATTTAGAAGCTATAAGGGAATAATTTCATATAATTGGTGACTGCCATGCAATGCAATCATGCAATCATGCAATCACCAAAATCATTCAGATACAAAGTTTTTATGGGTAAAAGGGTCCCATAGATATTTTATTTCATTTCAAATTGTACACTCGTTTGGTTTTTCGGGTTGGTAATCAATTTGTAGTTTCTTCCAACCACTACATACAAGCAGTTAAAGACAATAAATCATCCAATTTGGTGAGCCACTTCTCTCCAAATTTTGAACATAATCTCGCATTGAGCTCATCAACCTACATTTAATTTCTTCCCCCTAAATATGAAACGGGGTCGTTGACCAATTATTACGTCTTTGGCTTAAATTGGTTTTCAACGCGTGAAGGGCCAACCCCTTTCTCAACTGGTAAAAATTATAATGATTAAAGCCCTGAAATTAAGGTGATGAGAAAGTCTCTCCTTTTCTGACTTTCTTTTTTGTTCATTCATTTACCATTCATTTACCATTTCGTTTCGTACAAGACTCTCTCTCTCTCTCTCTCTCTCTCTCTCTCTCTCTCTCTCTCTCTCTCAATTCCATTATTATATAAACAAAAGAAAAATTCGGTGATTTACCACCTCAACAAAATGTCCACAATTTTGAGTTTGACATAGTAAACCTACCACCCTCCGATGTTTTTTTAATCATTTATTTAATTAATTATATGAATTAAAAATCCAATATTTGTGTTAATAAAGCAAACGATTGTAGTTAGTGGGATATGAACTTAATCCAATTAGAACGGTCTTATGAGTGGTTGAATATATAAAAGAGCCCGGGAAGGGAAAAATTGGAGACAACCGACTAACAACTATCTTTGAAGCTTTCAGCCACCAAACCCCAAAAAGCACACGACAAATCCAAAGCCATAGACATAGACAACTTCCATTCATTCGATGTCAACAAAAACAATACAGAAGCTTCCAACAGATTCAGTTTCAATAACCCCATCTCTTCAAATCCGCCAAAAGCTTCATGGCTATGATGATTCAGCAGCCATGGCAGCTGCTGCTTCTCAATCTCAACTTGTTCTTTGTTTTTTGCTTTAATGGTATTTTTGTCCTTCCTCTCTGTCATGGCCAAAATATTGAAACTTTCTATCCATTTACAGCTCTAGCTCCAGCTCTAGCTCCAGCTCCAGCTCCAACACCACAGATTGCTCCAATCTCTCCTTCATTGCCCCCGCCAACACAAGCAAAACCGCAGCCACAGCCAGTGCTGCCAGCTGCGCCACAAAAGTCTTCATCCAATGAGAGTTTGATTGCAAAGGCAGTGGGCGCAACTGCAGCTTGCACTCTGGTGGTTTCTGGGTTGCTTTTCTTTTTAGTCCAACGGTTCGTGGTTGCAAAGCGGAGAAGAAAGATTAATGGTGGTGGCAGTGGTAATAGTAGCACAGGTTCCCAAGGAGGCCGGCCTCAGCCTCCTGTGGTGGATCGCAATGAGTTTGCAAGATATGATGGAAATCTTAAGGGGTTCATTGTTGATGAGAATGGCCTGGATGTGCTTTACTGGAGAAAGCTTGAAGAGAGAAACTCAAAGAAGAGTTTCAATAAGGAGGTTTTGTGCAATCCCAAGAATGGAGAAGAAATTAATGGTGATGATGATGATGATGATGATGATGCTGAAGGGATTAGAAGGAGAAAGCATGAGCCTATACAAGAAGTTCCTCTGCTCAGAGGAAAGTCTTCATCATCCCACATCAATGATGTATCAGAAGTAAGTGATCCGAATCGAATTAGATCAATGGCTCTCAAGGCTGTTGAGAAATCAGAGTCAGAAGTTGAGCTAACTATTCGATCATCAAGTCCTCCGCCTCCCCCTTCTCCACCACCAACACCGCCGCCACCACCTCTGCTGCCTCCTTTGCCAATTTCAAATAAGAAAAGCCCCGCGGCACCTCCACCTCCTCCACCACCATCAACAATTGCAGCTATGAATAGTTCTGCACCGCCACCCCCTCCACCACCAAAGCCTAAAGCACGTAGTTTGAACGCCCTGTCAAAACCGTCTACGGGGCCAAAAGGGATGGAGGGTGATAGTAAACCAGCAGAGTCTTCATCAGGAGCAGGAAATGGTCAGGTAAAACTGAAGCCACTGCATTGGGACAAAGTGAATACTAATAATACTCAGCATTCCATGGTCTGGGACAAGATTGATGGTTCATTTAGGTAATGATAAAAGTTCAATTTTACCAAGATTTATATGCAACACTTACCCCAATTGTTTTTGGTTTTGAATATTCTGAAACTAACAATCTTTCTACTTTCAGATTTGATGGTGACCTTATGGAAGCTCTTTTTGGATATGTTGCCACCAACCGGTTATCCCCCAAAAGAGACAGCAACCAAGTGAACCCAAGAGGCACCAACGTTGGTCCATCACCACAGATCTGTATCCTAGATGCCAGGAAGTCCCAGAACATTGCAATTGTTATAAAGTCATTGACCATTTCTCGCAAGGAAATCCTTGATGTGCTCATGGAGGGTAGAGGTCTAAATGCAGAGACTCTTGAAAAGCTTGCTAGAATTGCCCCAACTGAAGAAGAACAATCGCAAATCCTTGAGTACAATGGAGATCCCACAAGGCTTGCCGATGCCGAATGCTTCCTTTACCACATTCTGAAAGCTGTCCCAACCGCTTTTACTCGACTTAATGCCATGCTCTTCAGATACAACTACGACTTGGAGATTCTGAACCTTAAGGGGTCTTTACGAACACTTGAACTAGGATGCAAGGAACTTCGAACGCGAGGACTGTTTATGAAACTGCTAGAGGCAATTCTCAAGGCTGGAAATCGCATGAATGCAGGAACTTCAAGAGGAAATGCACAAGCTTTCAACCTCAGTTCTCTTCGAAAGCTATCCGATGTTAGGAGCAGTGATGGGAAAACTACTCTTCTTCATTTTGTTGTGGAAGAAGTAATTCGGTCTGAGGGGAAACGGTGTGTTATCAACACAAATCATAGCTTGAGTCGGAGCAGCAGCCAGAGCCATAACAGAAACTTAAGCTCTGAGAATCTAAAACCGAAAGAGGACAGAGAGAAAGAGTATATGATGTTAGGATTGCCTATGGTTGGAGGCATCAGTGCTGAGTTCTCTAATGTGAAGAAGGCAGCTGCTATAGATTATGACAGCTTTGCAGGGACATTCTCAGCTCTCACAACCCGTGTGGCAGAAATTAGAGAACTTGTAATCCAATGTGAGAACAATGGTGGTGGAAGATTTGTAAGAGAAATGAAGGCTTTTCTTGAAGCAGCCGAAGAAGAGCTAACGGTGGTGAGAGAACAGCAGAAAAGTGTGATGGAGTTAGTAAAGAAAACAACAGAATATTATCAAGCAGGGGCTTCTAAGGATAAAGGGGCACACTCATTTCAACTATTTGTCATAGTTAAAGATTTTCTAGGCATGGTGGATCAAGCATGTGTTGAAATTTCTCGAAATATACAGAAGAGGAAGACGGTGACAACAAGTTTAGGAACATCATCAGCAAACTCACCACCAAGGAACCCCGTAAGGTTCCCAATCTTACCTAAAAATTTCATGTCAGGAAATTCTAGGAGCACTAACAGTGACTCAGATAATGATTTCTGAATTGGATTTTAAAATGTATATAGATTTCGAAAGGCACAATTACAATCAGTATATAGCTGAGTGATTTTTCAAAGTTTCAAGTGTATTCAAAACCTTTGCAAACTTTCAGTCAATAGCTCGTAGTGTTGGTCTTCTTCTGTCTTTCCCAGTAATGCCTACATGCGTTTGATCCACAAATATTTATTCTTTCAATTATTCTTTGGTCTGAGATTATGGTGTAATCATAGTGTCCAGATTTCTGCAACCAACTATAAGATCTCCGTGTAATTTTAATATTTCCCACAGTTACATCCTTTCATAGGCAATAAGTACAATTCTGATAACTATTTGGGATAAGTAGAGTAGGAGACTAATTTGGCAACGAATGGCAGCAAAGGTAGGTCTTGTCTAGCCATCGACATACACAGTTTTTCACTCATCATGATCATTTTGTCATCAGCTCAGCAATAATATTTAAGCATGCACCCTTGATGAGAACCAATTCCTTACACATATTTTCTCTTGTCTAGCCTGTGAAGATGTGTTTCACTGTAGATGAAGTGTGACGTTTCGGCCTAGCAGATTCGGTCACCGATGGGTTTCATTCTTGGAACTTTCCTACATATACCATAATCACAGTTCACATTAATTATGGAAAGAAAAAAACCTCAAAACGAATTAACCACACAAATAGCTCTTGAAATGCAGCGAAGTAACTCATTGTACAGATTGAAATGCTTGTGTTAAGGCATACATACATCTTTCCTTCTTGCACATGTGCATTTAATGTGTTAAACTTATTATATTTTTGCATATGCATAACAACCTTTAGTTTTTATACTTGTTCCGAAGAGCTCAACAAATGGGAGGCTTTAGACTCTAATGCAAAGTAAGCCCCTAAACCTGGCTTAAGTTAGACATGAAAGCTCATTTGTGACACAAGGAACTTCGCAAAAGAATGATAGATCTACTCAAAATATACAAAATGGAACAATTGATCTTATGCCATAAGATAAAACCACAATTACGCTATACCTTTTCTGAAGTACTTTTTGACATTTTTTCTCTGCGGTAAGAACCTGGCATGGGAGTAGTCTTAAAATTAAGGCTATGTCTCAGCTTTTTTATCTCTGCTTCGTTTTGACCCTGTGGCAAGCATACAGTTCTTAGAAATAACATTTTCAACTTTTGTAGTACTTATGATATAATTCTATTTCTGATGAGTTATATAGCAAGTCATAGGCTAATATGCTCCTTAAAAGAATAGTTATTTGTGAGATATACCTTTGACTTTGGTTGGTAGTGCAATCTCTCTGCCTCTTTGGGATTGGATTTTGCCTCCTTTCTTTTATCTACTCTTTCATCATTTCTCAAACCAAAAGATGATGGAGCAGCCTTAGGTGTTCCTTTTCCTAGAGACCTATGACGGAAAAATTTAATGCAAACAAAGTAATTCAGACACCAAATAAAGTTTAAATCCACAATGTGAAATAAGATAGCATATAACATGCAAAGCGTGATATTATGCAAGTATCAGATGGACAGAGGATGTATATTACAAATACATCTGTTGGCAGTCAAATGTGAGTTTAAGACATTACCCTCCATTCTCTTTTGGCAGGAGCACTGAAGTGGAAACTCTTGATTCTTTCCCCTTTGTAGAGAGCTGCTTGATAATGAAATTTCCATAATAAAACTTTGATGTTAGACACGCTAATGCAAAACTTACATATAAAATAAAAAGAAGCTGGTCATTTCTTCAAACAATAAAACGTACTTAAATGACAAACCTGCGTTGGTGTTGAAGATTTCTCTTCACTGGAGGATTTCGGTTGGTTGTAATTGTTTTGAAATGTCTTAAATGCTCGTCTGACAATGTCCTTATCTCCCATATTCTCCATAATGAAAGATTTTCTGGCGGTTGTCGGTGAAGCTGAATCAGACTTTGCGGGATCCAAACTAAGTGACATGTGCAAAGACTTAGGAGGAACTTTCTTGGTGTCCTCAATGGAAGGATTTTTGCTCCTAGGTAAAGATGAAGTGTTGCCCATTTTTACTGAGGATCGAGGTGCAGGTGTTGCAATAGAAGTTGATATAGACTTTGACGCTCTTGGGGTGGAAGTAGATATAGGCTTTGACACTCTAGCAGTGGAAGTTGATATAGGCTTTGACAATCTAGGGGTGGAAGTTGATATCGGCTTTGACACTCTAAGGGTGGAAGTTGATATAGGCTTTGACACTCTAGGGGTGGATTTCTGTGGTGTTTTAGTTATTTGTGGAATTGGTTTCTTCTTAACATTTGCCACATTTCTCTCCTTGCTCACTCCAGTAGTAACCTATAAAACAGAAAAATGCAAAAGATATAAGACATCAGACTTCAACCAAACAAGTTCTTAGATTATGAGATATAGAACACGGTATCTGCGGATAAGTTTTCCTAAATGGATTAAAGAAATAATTACTTCACCTTCTGAGATCCCTTCCGAAGAAGCAATCTTGGTTTTTTCTCTTTTTCCTCTTTAACTTCTGGAGCCTTTCCCATTTCATTGTCCAAACTCCTTGGAATTTCCTGTATCCCTTCAGACTCAGCAGGGACATTCTCCGCTTCTTTCTCTAAAATAAGTTCCTCCGGATTGTTCAAGTTGGGACTAGCCGTAAAGCTATCAGTTGTTTCTTTCTCTCCCTCTGTCAATGAGCTTTGACATTCTATGGTGATAACATCATCCTCCTTGAGATCATCCACATGAGTACTAATTGTCTGATTGTCAAAATTGGTTTCTTGATAATTTGCTTGGGTAGTACTTTGACTGTTAGTTAAATCAATTTCAAAATGTGTCCCGCAATCGATCTGATCTCCACCCTTCTGATCATCTGACCTAAAGGGATCATCTTGCATCTGCTTCTCTTGCTCCAGAAGCTCCTGAGCTTTCCTAGCAGCTATCTTCTTGTAATGGGCTTCAAAATAGGCCCTTTTCTGAGCCACTGAACCAGGCGTCGCACACTTCTCAACTTCTTCCAAGTACTTGTTTGGTGAGAATGTTGACCATTTCTCCCAAGACAGTGAATCATTCTCAAACCTACCGAACGAAACCGACACTTCCAGAGCAGGATTTGAAGAATTTGAAGCAGCTGCCTCTCCCACCTGTTTTATTCAACAGAAAAAACCAAAAATCCAAAAGCATATTCTGAAGCAAGAACAGAGACAACAAACTAGCAAATCTAGCAATCATATATTTTGAATCAATCAGCAACCCACAAAACATAAGGCTCAAAAGACAATAATTGCAAACAAATTTTACAGATGGGTCGCTTTTTTTATCAAATCTAGGGACAAAAAAGTGTACCTCATCAGCATCATTTGCGAAATCTACTATTGATTCACCCATTAGCTCTGCAAGGAAGGGGTTCAAATGTTGAGCTACCAGAGAGCTACACAGCAGGACACAAACTGTGTACAGCACGGGGCTTTGACTAGCAGGGGGGCATATCACCAATCTATTGGATCACGCAAGAAAAATATACCAAGAGTAAGAAAAACCAGAATGGGGACAAAAAGAAAAAGACTTCAAAATTGCAAGAAGAAAAGAATTTTATAGATAAAAACATGTCCATGTGTTCTCCTCTGCTCGTTTTCTAGAGTAGCATTATCACTTTACCTTTTTCACTGTTTCTGGCACTTCTGGGAACTCCTACAATGATAAAGCCAATCAATCATCAAAACAAGACAATTGTATGGGAGAAAATTAAAAAAAGAAAGCTCAAAGCTCAAAGCTGAAAGCTGGAGATGACCCACAATATGTTTCCAAAAAAGATTTGGCTTTTACTAGCACCATTCCGAGATGAAAAGGTTAAACAGTCGAGGACTTTCTCTCTCTCAGTCTCAAGTACATGATGAATTGATGACTGGAAATTTGGAAATCAAAAAACACACAGCACATGATGTCAAAATGGAAGTGTAATTAATAGGAAAATAGAGATTAGTTGGGTTATTATGAGGGTTCAACAACAAATTAGAGTGGCCATATTGAATAAACAAAGATTAAGACTGTCAATCTTAACAAACTTATAATATTTTTTTGGTGGGAAAAAAGTAGTAATAATGATACCTGTGGAAATTTCTCCTTTCGGGGCTTCAGAGATACACCAAGAAGTTGAAGACAGTGATCAGATCAGGCATGAAAATATGGTAGATGGACCACTTTAGAGTGCACTACAGTAAACAAAGACATGATAGTGAAAGTTACATGTGACAGGTTTCTAAGCCTCTAATCTAAGATCTAAAATTAATAATTATCTTAGCTACTTGGTACGCATGTGGTCCCTCCCCCCATTCAATTTTCAATTGGTTGAACCAAACTATACACAGAAGACGATGCACAAAACAAGAGTAAAACGACGTCGTTTGAGGATGGTAAACATATGGGCCCAAGGGGCCAAGCCCAATGAACCTACTGATGGCAAAATCACAACAATCTGCATCGTTGAGCCTTTCTGGGCTTTATCTCTCCTTTAACTTGCCTTGTATTTTCCTCCTCTATTGCCCTCTAAGCTACTCAATCGTCTACCCCAATTAACCACTAATTTTGCTAAGCATCATTGTCCCACATTTTCTCTATATATTGCTCCAAACTTTGCTTACTGGAAACCACACAACCAAAATGAGAATCAATTCTTCCTTTGTCCAATTATTTGTCACCCTAGCTCTTCTATTGGGCCAGGCCAAACCCGACCCGGATCCCCTTCAGGATTACTGCGTAGCAGATACAAAAATTCCCCAGTCATTTTACCTCAATGGTGCACCCTGCATCAATCCAAAGCTAGCAAACTCATCCCATTTCACCACATCTGTCCTATCCAAGCCAGGCAACCCGAAAGCTAACCCTTTCGGGTTCAACGCGACCCTGACGAACACGCTTAACCTACCCGGGGTCAACACATTGGGCCTGACCATGGCCCGGGTTGACATAGCGGCCAATGGGATGGTGCCTCCACATTTGCACCCAAGGGCCTCAGAAGTCGCAATCTGCCTCAAAGGGCTCCTTCTTGTGGGCTTTGTGGACACCTCGAACCGTGTGTTTACCCAGCAACTGAAGCCTGGTGAGTCATTTGTGTTCCCAAAGAGCCTCGTTCATTTTCTGTACAACTACGACTCCGTGAACCAAGCACTGGTCTTGGCCGGGTTCAGTAGCCAGAACCCTGGTGCACAGATTGTTTCACTTGCCACCTTCACTTCAAAGCCTTCAATCCCAGTTGCTATATTGAAGAATGCTTTTCAAATTAGTGACCTGGACGTTGCCAGGATTCGAAAGAACTTGGGAGGTTGAACATATTTATTTGTTTATTATACATGTTGCTTTTGCATATATGGCTGCGAGGAAAGTGGAAAGTTTAGCTTAGGTTTTCAAATAAATACACATGCCAACGGTCACATATATAACTATATAATATATTGTAATATGAATGGAAAATATGAAGCATGTGTAGAAATGGAAAGAATAAAGTGATTGGATCCCAGCTCATTTACTCAGCTCAGTCAGTCTCAGTGCAAGTTGCAATTGTAGTGAAAAAAACAATTGGTTTTATTGTGCACCTCTTCGCTGTCACGAAAACAAGAAAGGGCTTCTTTTCTATGTTTGGTACCCATCATCACAAAGCAACCAAATTTTTGTCAGCGCTTGGCAGTCATTCACTTGCAAAATTAACTTTGGGTAAAAAGAAACTTTCTGGTAATAACTTGATTCTTAGCAGTAAAAAGGTCAATCTTTATGAACCAAGTTTGATTTTTTATTTTTTATTTTTTAAATAAGCTATAGTCTAAATTACAAAAGGAATGGTTTCTCACACATACTGGTGTGTAAATCAACGTCATTTTTCATTTAGCTCAACTTCGTTGACAAAACCCTTAACCGGGAACCAAGTTTGATTTTGTTAAGCTCAAAGAGTTGGATGGAAAAAGTCCAATTTGAAGAATAGAAGCTCCAACTAACGATGTTCTTAGGAAATTTAGGGAATTTGGCAGCAGCTTATTGGCGTCTCTCTCTCGGCATCATGACATGAATACGTGGTACACAAATTTGCAAAAGCCTCCCAAACCACCCATTTTAATATCTTTTGTTGACGCACATCTTCCGCCAGAAACCGAATGAGCTTGCAACAAGAGTTTAAAAGCTCCTCCTCCCCTCCAACTCTAATTAAAATATATCATCTTTATGTTAGTATAAATTAAAATTCTGAGTTATATAAAAATTGGAATTATAATTGGGTTGAAAATAACAAAGAGTTTTGTGTTGTGTCAGGCTGTGGGTCTGTGACGCTCCCAAGAAAGGTCCGTGAACCCATTCACAGATCACATTTTTACTATCTTCTTCATTGTCATTCATTTTCTTGGGGTCACTTTCAAATTTGCAATAATGGCAGTAATGGCGAGTCAGTGAAAGGGAAGAGAAGAGCATACACCAAAAACACAGCCTGTAAACTGTAAATAATTAAAGATGAACAAAAATAAAAGAATGGAACTTGAAATGAAAGAAGCAAGAACAAGTGTATGATATTCTCTTCCCTCTTGAGACCCAGATTACATACAAAGAAATCATTCAATCGCCAAAATGGTCCCAAGAATTGGAACCTCCAAAATAGGAATTGAATTGAATCTGTCTCATATATGTAAAGCACCAAGAAAATTCAGAAACAAGAACTCCAGTGAAGAAGAAGAAGACACATGAATTTTCTCCAACAATTTCACCTAAAATTCAACCAATCTGTACATGGCCCTATGGCTATCAAAAGAATAGAATCTCTGAACAATGTATGAAAGAATCATAACCCCGCCTCATGACAAATAGCTGGAAAACCCAATCAATGTAGAAGCAGAAATCGACGATAAAGCTTGGAACTTTGCTGCGTTGTGATGACGGAGCGGCTTGTAAAGATCGTAAGGCTCCCAAAGATGGTCAAGCGGACAAGGGTTCTTGGATTCAAGCCTAACCCAAGGCTTGCCTTTGCCACTCCAATGTAGCAAACTCACTGGACCAGGGTGAAGAGACCTGCAGCTCCCTCTGACGTTGTCGCCGCCAAGCCCGTGCTGGTTCCACCTGTGGTCTATAGCCTCCACGTTCCCGGCAAAAACTAGCAAAAATGGTGGCAAAGAACCCAAATCGTAAATCCTTCTCTTTCTCTGCAACTCCATCCAGTTCTCAATCCTCTTTCTGTAATTTCCCTGTCTCCACCTCACCAAGTCCATCACCATCACCCCTGTGTTGAAGTAGCAGGGTCTTCTTGAGGAAAAGACCCGGGAAAGAACCGGGTCGGACCAGAACCCGTCGGTGAAATACTTAGTGAAGTTGGCGTGGCAGTACTCCGGGGCTCCAATGACCCGCAACCCGGACAGAGAAATGTTCCAGAGCCTGTGAATGTCGTCGACCACCAGCACATCCGAGTCCAAGTAAATGACCCGGTCCACGCATCGCCCCAAAATATCGCCCAGGTAATTTCTGGCGTAGTTGAGCGGGTTCTCGAGCGCCTGCCGAATCGAAGACGAGATGAGATTAATGACGGTGTCTTCCCGGAAGATGTAGACCTTGAAATTGAGGGAGGGGAAGGTGGATCGGACGAGTTGGGTCAGGACCCGTGGACTCGCCGGGTCGAACTCTGCGGCGATGAAGTGGAAGAAGACGTTCTCGGGGCAAGAAGCGTGCTTGAGAACCGAGTGTACGGCAGCCACGGAGCCTCTGAGATACTCGGAGTCGAGAGTCATGGCGATGTGGACCAGGGAAGGGTCGCAGGAGGACACCATTTCCTTGTTCATCGAAACGGCGCAGTCTGCTCCATTACGGTAATCCGGCGCCTCAGAGAATCTCGCCCAGGCGGCGGAGGCGAGTTCGGAAGCATCTCCGGCGTCGATCGCCCTGGTCGGGAAGGAGCGAATCCCGATGCAGAACGGAGGGAAGAGGAGGGAGATACTGAGGACGAACAAAACGGCGGCGTATAGCCGGAATGGGAGCATTGCTCGCCGCTTTGGGAGGAGAAATGGGATTTGTTTGTTGTGTTTTCTTCTTCTTCTTCTTCTTCTGTTTCTTTTTCTTTTTCTTTTTCTTTTTTCTTTTTTCTTTTTTTGGGTGGAGAAAATGAATGTTGTAACAGCAATGGTGGGGAATGGTGGGGTGGGTGGGTGTGTGTGTGTGTCTGGGTGTCTGGGTGTGGAGATAGTTATTATAGAGAGAGAGAAGAAAGAGACGGTTGTGGAGATTTGCCATTTGTATAATAACTAATTAGGCAAAGAAAATAATTAATAGGCAAGGTCAAATGCAATCAAATCATAATGTGAAAATAAGGAAAAAAAACAAACAAAAAAGGAAATAAAAAAGCCAGACACGCTTGTTGTTGCAAAAATGCGTTTCAAAAGAAAAAAACGAAACGCGGAAATAGAGACAGAGGAACAGGTTCGAGAAGGAGGAAGCATCTCCTCCTCCCTCTGTTTTCCTCTCTGTGTTTTTGTTCCATGATTTGACTTGACTTTCGAACCGCTGCTATATAGCATAGATTTCTGGTTTTAAAAAAACGACGTCGAAGCTCTGTAGTAACGATGCTAAAGATTATCCATCATTTAACAAATTCATAATTACAATTTTTTAATCTTTATACAATTAAAACATCAAAAAATAATTTTTAAAAATGGTTATCCAACTAAATTAAAGGTATTCTGGGTATATTTGTAACTGGGTTAAATTAGGTAACAATAGCACCGTACGTACATGGAAATTATTTGGAACAGTGTGTGCATGAATGATGAATTCCAAATTAGGATTAGGGCTGCGCTAATGAAATTAATTTGCATTTATGTTAAACAACCCTCAGTTTTGCTCCAAATTTGCAGAAGAACAAGGGGTTGGGATTTTGATTTAATGTTAATGGGGATGCTAAATATAAATAAATAAAAACTAAATTTAACAAATAAAGGGATACGGATTGATTTCATTAATGCATTATTGAAAACTCCGATGTCAGAATTAATACTCATTTAACTCTCTCTCTCTCTCTCTCCTACCGCATCTCCAGAATCACAAGTCTTTTCCTTGTCACCGCCCAACAAGCCTTAATTCTCATTCATTAAAGATTGATACTGTGGACAACTGTACATTAATTTTAACGATTTTTCTTTTTTTTTTTCTTTTTTTAAAAATAAAATTCAAACACTCACAATGAGACTAGCAAAAACCAACTAGCCATTGAAGTCATTACAAATGTGTACCGCCATTATTATTTATGCTAGTCGAATATGAAATCTCATCCAATTGAATATAAACAAATACCATTATATAAAAGACTAGTTTATATTATATATTATTTATTTATTTGACAACTAAGCAAATGAGAAAATACCTCGTAAACAAAAAAACTATAAAAGAAATATAGAAACGAAGTGCCAGGTCAGAGAAGGCAGCAAAAGACAGCTCAGCAACACGGGCGAGGAAATAACGCCCCTTTTTTGTTGTTGCAAATTTGGGACAAAGCTTTTATTCTTCGCCTCCACTGACCAAATGCCAGCTGTTTACTGATGCTGTTGGCGGCTGCGTTCAGCCTGGCAATAAGCATCTCTTCTCTGCCTCTGCCTCTTTCGCTTATGCCCCACGTGCCCCCACGTGCTCCCAAGTTCTCCCCTGCCTAATAATAAGTAACAAGTGGTGTTTCTGTTTCTCCTTTTTTCGTTTTATTAAACGCACGCAAATGTGTATATGCTGCAGCATTTATACAAAAACCTTGCTGAATTAGTCAAATTAAGATTATTTAATTTTCAAACGGTATTGTGATTAAAATAAAATTTCCCAAACTGTATGGTACGTTATATTTTTTTCACATTACTATTCTAGTATAGACTCTGTTTTTCTTTATTGTGAATGATAATTCATATTTAGTATGTTATGTTGGTCGACTATCAATCTCGATCATACATTGAAATAATATTTCATATGATAAATAATTAACACTATAATTTAACAATGTAACGTCTCAAATATATATATATATATATTTTTCTTTTAGTAATATAAGTGTCTAGCATCTCTGCAGCACTATAACCTGTACCCTTGTTTTATTCATGAACCTAAGGTGTGATTAATGATTTCCACCTACCACGCTCCATGATCCATGACCTGCATTTTTACCTAGTCAAGAGAAGAACGCATCAAACATCATTTTCATGCATCCTACATATTCTTTATCATATTTATTTATTTATTTTTGGATGGCAACAGATCGCTAACATTGGTCTATATATGGTTGTTTTAATTAATTTATTTATTTACAAAGACGACAGATTCTACAGAGCATAAATTATACCTCAATCAAATACATATGATATAGTGACAAATGAATGCATGCCAAGTATGATGTAACAAGTGATGTGACAATTCCAAGTACAAATTTCCTCTTTAATATTTAATACTTTTTTAAAGAGTTTGCTGGAGTGAGATGATTTGTTAGCCTAAGACTGCTTATCACTAA